CTGAAAACAGATAAGATAAGAATGCTGAATAGATAAGATAGAACTGTATCTAGCTGGAATTAAATAAGATGAGAACTGAGAACACCCAATTACTGCTGCTGCCGGCGTCGATACTTCTTCCCAATAAACGCGTCCACATCAGAAAACAACAGAGCAATAGAAAAAGGAGAGATTGAATACTACAATTTCTTTGTAAATCAAAGTTTTCTGATCACAACACATAAAAGAAATGAAAGGCCTAGAAATAAAGAAGGCATAAAATTGAATAGATGAAAACAATAATAAAACCCTAACAGAGAACATAAAAAAATCTCAGATCCATTAAGCATCGGTGGATAAGTTGATCAGTAAATAGAGAACATGAAAGAAAACAAAAAATCAATCTACAAATGGTGGATATTTCTTACTTACCCACAGGAGGAAGATCATCATCATCATCCATGCCTTATCCCAACTATATGGGGTTGGCTACACGAATCTTCTTTCATCAATCCATTCTATTTAAAKCCATATTCATTGTTAAATTATTAGTGCTTAAATAATTTCTTACTACTTTTGCCCATGTTCTTTTTGGTTTACCCCAAGCTCTTCTAGCCCTTTCAATGTCTAACAAGTTACTTATTCTAATTGGTGCAGCTCGTGGTCTTCTATGCACGTGTCCAAACCATCTTAGTCTACTCTCTCTCATTTTACCCCCTATTGGAGCTACTCCTAGGTTCCTATGGATAACTTCATTCCTAATCCTATCATTTCTAGTTTTTCTACTCATCCATCTTAGCATTAGCATTTCTGCCACATTCATTTTCTGGACACGTTTCTTAACTGTGCAACACTCTGCTCCATACAACATAGCTGGACTTATAGTTGTTTTATAGAAATTTCTTTTAATCTAAGTGGTATTTGCCAATCACATAGAAGTCCTGATGCACCCCTCCATTTTGCACATCCTGCTCTAATTCTTTGGGTGGCATCCTCCTCAATCTAACCGAGGGAGGAAGATAAGGAGAATAAATTAAACCAGTAACTGATATTTGTAATTCCAAGTAAAGCCAAAGGCCACCATGCTTGTTTCTTCAAAGTGGTATTCGCCAATCACATAAAAGTCTTGATGCACCCCTCCATTTTGCACATAAATTAAACCAGTAACTGATATTTGTAATTCCAAGTAGGAAGGTAAGCCAAAGACCACCATGCTTATTTCTTCTTTTTTTTGTCTAGTATGTTGTCTCCTTTCTTCCTTCTTTTTGCTTAAGTTTATTTTCAGATCAAGTCTCGAGGAAGAAGAGTGGTTTGGGTGGTGGTGGCCCTCCCCACAAGAAGCTCTACCTCACAAAAGAACAGTCTCATCTCTTGAAAGAGAGCTTCAGAGAGAACCATACCTTGAATCCTGTAACTCCTTCACTAAACCTCCTTTTATCATCTCCCATGCACAGTTCGGTCTCTTCTTGTTTTCTGTCTTTTTTTTTATTTAATTTGTTTTTTTTTTTATTTTGATTTTCTTTAGAGGGAAGGAACAGGAAGTGGCAAAAATGAGATTATAGAAAAATTTAATGAGAACCTAAACATGTTTTTAATGGATGGCCTATTTGTTTTATGTAGTTTCTTATTAAGTACTAAGTAGGTTTTGAAACTACAGGGTATATATAAGTAGTGAGATCGGCTTCAGTCAGTGCAAGCTCCGTCCGAACACATTCAAACAGCCTTTACAGCCTTGCATTGGGAACATCTTCGTACTTCTGTGCTTTATTTCATGGGAAGATATTCCCAATGCAAGGCTATAAAGACTGTTCGAATGGGGCTTGCACTGACTGAATCCGGTTTAATTAGTGGTTTCCTCCAGGGAATAAATTAGTAATTATCCCTATGTAATTTAACAACTGGCATGCCTGGATGTTTATTCTGAATGATTTTGAAACTGAACTTGGTCCTTTAACCCTTGGTTTTTTATTTGTATCTAAGCATGTTAAGGCTTTCTCCTTCGCAGCACCTAATAGAATCCTTCAAGAGTGAGGAGGATGAGGATCTATCTGAATTTCCTGAACAGTCTCAGTATGAACAAGATGCATCCTTAAGTTATATGTCTGTGGGGGATGGGTCTTCAAGAAGTGCCCTATCTAAGAAGCTATTACACAGTAAGAGCTTGTCTTCCTCTACTCCTCAAACCTCAGTGGCACCAGTTCCACGATCATCAATCAAAAGGTCCAACTCCAGCACTGGTAAGAGACAAACTCAACCAGATAATTCCCTTGCACAGTCAGTTCCAAACTTTTCTGACTTAAGAAAGGAAAACACAAAGCCCTCATCAGGGATCAGCAAGACAACAAACCGCTCACAGCTCAGCAGCTATGCCCGCAGCAAGAGTACTGGTAAGGAGTTGGCCCTTCCCAAAGAGTATAAGACCCAGAGGTCTCTTAAGTCTAATGGTGTTCTAACACCACTAAGATTTTCTAAAGAGCTAACTAACCAGAGCATCTATGGCAATATTTCCAAGAATGGTGGGTCTAAGCCATTCCTCAGGAAGGGCAATGGTATAGGTCCTGGTGCTGGAGCTGGTATTGTGAAGATGAAATCGTCAATGGCATCAGATAACTTGAAAAATGAACAATCTCATGACATGACCAACCTAGCAGAAGATTCTGTGGACTTGGTTAAAGCTGAAAAGGAAGAGGGAGATTTTGGAGCAGTGACTGGTGACAAAATTAGGAAGGTTATTGATTTTCCTGCTGATTCAAATAATGAAAAACGAACACTTAGCGAGGAGTCAGAAAATTCTGTAGAACCTCAGTCTGACAATGGTGACTCCCAACTCCACCCTAACTTAGTGGCTGAAGTGGCTACTGCCACGACTATCACATTTCACAGCTCTGTAGAACCTTTGCAAGACTCACCAGGAGAAAGTCCTGCATCATGGAACTCACACATGCATCACCTATTTTGTTATACAAGTGAGGTTTTGGATGTGAATGCATCTGTTGACTCTTCAGTGGGGAGCCCTGCATTGTGCAACTCTCACTCTCTTACTCAGGTGGAGTCTGATGCATCTCAGATGAGGAAGAAATGGAGCAATGCTCAGAAACCAATTCTTTTACCTAATGCTGCACATCATCCATCTCACAAGGGTGTCACAAAAGGTTTTAAGAGATTATTGAAGTTTGGTAGGAAAAGTCAGGGAACAGAGAGTATGGTGGACTGGGTTTCTGCAACAACTTCTGAAGGAGATGATGATACTGAAGATGGCAGGGATCCAGCAAATCAGTCGTCAGAGGATTCAAGAAAGTCAAGAATGGGGTTTTCACAGGGTTACTCTTCTTATGATGGCTTGAATGATGGTGAACTGTTCAATGAACAAGGTACGGTAATTTTTTTCCTGATTGATTTCGTTCTCATAAATGCACACTTTTTTTTTCATTAAAATTTTGTTAACAGAAGCTCTGGTAGATTTGAAATCTGACTGCAAATTCTGCATAAAACCTAAATCATGCACCTAAAAAAATTTTAAATATGCATTTTGGTTCTCAATTTGATAACAGGTGTGCCTTGTGTTTCTTGCAGTTCAAGCATTATGTAGTTCAATCCCTGCATCCCAAGAAAAGTTCAAGCCAAAGGACGTTCATTTGTCTGGGAGCTCTCTGAAAGGTTATTCTTACAAAACTGATGCTGAAAATTGTATATTTGTTAATTTTAAATGCAGTTGCTAAGGAGTCTGGGTACATCTAAAAGGAAAATCTTATTTTAGGATGGGGAAGGGAGAAAACTCACCCCCTTTCTGTTCCCCATATATGAAATAGTGAATCTCTTAACCTAGTAATGAGTTGATTGAAGAATCTTAGATGACCTTAGTTCCCATCTTTGGGATTTTTGGCTGTTTATTGTATTATTGTATTTCTTCCCTCTCCCTGTGCATGGGAACACTAGTCTATATTTTTAATATTGGGCATCTCTTACGTGGCACATGTGGGACTTATTTATGGATTATGGTCCTAAACCTGCTTCATTACTGCATGTGTCATGTAGAATAGGTGGGGAATAGGACTTCTTCATGACTTAGAGTTTCCTAAGTATGTTGCTTGATATTTGTATTTTAAATTCAAGTTTTCTTCTTCTTGCTTTTTTGGCCATATTTCAAATTCTATTTTTGCCTAAAATTTTGGGTTTAGCATTGAATCCATAGTGATTGAATTTGAAAGAACACAACAGAGAACCATGTGCTAATACACAACTTGATTATTTAATAAAGAGATTACAGTTAGATGCCTAGAAAACATATTATTGAAGATAGAAGAGCAAAAAGAAAACCACTGTAATGACAGTATGATCGTAACTAATCAATCTTCCAAATATCTAAATATGTAGTCTGTCCCTTGTGGAATGTAGGAAGAAAAAGCTCCTTATCTTAGAGCCAAATGCTTTGATGTTTTTGTGAAATGGGCTGATTTATTGTTTGTTTCAAAATTTACAGCTCCTCGATCTTTTTTCTCATTCTCATCTTTTCGAAGCAAGGGGAGTGAATCAAAACCCAGATGTTGACCACCGTGCAAAGATGAAACTCAGGGCTATAAAGGTATAGAAGTTCATATACAAGTAGCAATTTGGTCCTTTTGTTACTGAGGTCAAGATATTCCCAAGTGTCTTACATTGATAGGGATATAAAATATAATATATAAGCCATGATTATATACTTACGTTGTCTTACTGGACCTGTGAGGCACAGGCATTCCATTTCTCCCTGTATTTTTTTTTTCTCTTTTTGTCCAAATAGTGAGCTTTGAAATATTTAATATGCATATTGAGCCAATGTGCAGAATTGTTTGTAATATTTTTTTGACTGGTCCAGCCGTCCAGTTTTTTTCTCTTTATTCTTACTGTTGTAATCCTAGTGTAATGATGTATATTGAAACTTAGCCAGTGATCCAAACTCAGTAGTGGATGTATTTACCCTTTTGAAAGAAAGGAGAGAGAATGTGATTGTATGCAGGATAACCTTCAAATTCTACAACCGAGGTTCGGTGTTACATATTAATTTTATTTCAGGACTCAGAAGTATACATATGCATTTCGTATCATTTGTTTTATCTTTTTTGGGGAGAAAATGTATGGACTGTTTATAATTTTCAAAAATAGAGAAAAATACATGAAATAACTCGAATTAGCAAAGACATGGAAACTTTTAATTTTATATTTATTTTTAAAAATAAAATCATTTTATATTTTTATATATGCATATAAATATATTGTGCACAATTTACATATAAAATATGCTGAAATTTTACTATAAACTTCTTAAATGAGAACTTGTTAAACACAAAGATCAGATTTATTTGAGTGAACACTTTGGCAAATTCTTTGTTCTTAGTTCCAAATTATGCATGAACATTTCCTGTATTATATTTATGCTTTACAGTTTACACATTTACTTCTGGGCTTTGTAACTTGTGTTAAAACCATGTACCATGGTTTGGTGATATTTTGAACCTTGCTTGTGTACTAGTCTATAGGTGATCAGCTGGCATCCCTTTGCTATCCTGGTTTACTTACTGTACAGACCTCGCCCTCGACCACAGGGGACAAGGATCAAAGTTTAGTAATGTATTGGCCCATATCGATCGATACGTATTTTGTTGGTGACCCACCAATACGCGGAATACATGAAGTTTTGGGGTAAGAGTAAAACCTCTTTCAAGGGGTAGCCAGGCCTTATACTGATCCCCTTGAACCTGTGTGTGATGTTAAAGTCTGATGCACTCTGTCCAGCATATTGGGCTGGATCAATATTTTAAACCTTGACAGGGGCTACAATCTACAGGCTGAAACTGCATTACCATACCCGAAGTGTGTAAATAGTGATGATACTTGAATCTTTCTATTTCCAAGTTTAGCTCTGTTCTGATTATATGATGTAAGGGTTTCATTTTTGCTGAATTTGAATGAATATTTTAAAGCTTGTATGGTGGCATGAATTGGTTTTCTTTGTTTTTCAATTTTCAAAATTCTCTTACTATTTGAGGGTGTATCTTTTCATATCATTTTCTTTTATATTTCAGAAGAAACTCTTCCATTTTCCCTTTCTTTCTCTTATTATAAGTTCTTCTTGACTTCGTACTTATCACATACACCCTGATAGGATTTTTCTTTGTTTGTCTACCTCAAATCATCAATATTGTTGATATGAAGGGAAACTTATGAAAATGAAGTAATATGGAGAACTTGAGGATTAATTACTATCTTACTATCTTGAAAAAACTAAGATATATTCTGATATTCAGCCATATCTACCAAAAGGTATGGATACTTTGAACTTTGTCAAAATTACTTCCCACTAGGGGTGTCAATGGATCAGTCTAGACTTAATGGTCCAAAGTATTTATTGGATTGGATTGAACCTGGTCCATCCATAATGGGTTTATATTGGATTGGGTTGGATTGAATGAATAACCCCTCCATTGATAGAAGATAAAGAATACAGGTGTCAATGGATCAGGTTTGGGTTGGATTGGACCAATCTAAATTAGAACCAATTTGGACAGATTGGACTGATCCGAAATGGTCCAAAGTATTCAATGGATTGGATTGGACCTGGTCCATCTGTAAGGACTCATATTGGACCAAATCCAGTCCAATTGACACCCCCTACTTCTCACACCCTCTCTAATAGTTAACTTTGGTTGATATGGTTGATATGCTTATATGATTGTTTCCTCATACCAGCCAACGAGATGCTCTCGCATCAAAAGTCATCCATGCCAGGTTAAGATGGAAACTTTACTCTGATCAACACAGAAATCCTTGTCAAGATTAGAGCAGACAACTAGTTTAGATTGGATTTCAACTTTGATGGGGACTATTTTTTTGTTTATGGTCAAGTTTCCTTCTCAATCAATAAGACGTGAACCACTCTTTGATGTGTCACACTCGAACAGGCATATGAGCACAAGTGAATCACCTATATAAGTAAATAATTTCAATAAAGACAAAAAGTATTTCTATTGACTCTGTCCGCTAAACAGATTATTCTTTAAAAAAATGTATAGAGGAATAGAGGATCTGTAAGTCATTTGTGTCTGAAACGATTAGAGAAACTTTTTCCCATTTCTTAGACACCCATAACTTACAAGATGCTTTTCCCTTTCTTTCTTTTGCTTATTTTCCCCGGCCCTCCGACTATATATCTCGAAATCAGGGGGGGCACGATCATTCATTCGTCCCAATCCCCGAACAATTCACTGACCAGACGGATGTTTCCGTGTAAATAAGAAAAGAATGTAGTTAGACTTGGTTGGAACTTGGAATGTTTGGCATTTGATTCCCAGAAGGTGAAAAAGAGCAACATTCATTCCTTGGGCCTTCAGCTTGGGGTTGGGGATGAAAAAACAAGTCTTTCTACTCACTCTTGGTAAATGGCACATGTCGATAATTGGCTTAGATTAAAAGCAAGCATTTAGATGTTGGTGGTTACGTGCCTGAAATGCAAAGCTAAGATAGGTGGTTGGTGGTGACTCCACACTAACTCCAAATGGGATGATGGGAATAGCCACCACCACCCCCACCACCGAGTTTGACGCTTATTTCCTTTCTCCTCCGCCCCTCCCTTCACCAAAATCCTGCTTTTCTCATCTTCTCTCTGGCGTACATTCCATAGTCTATATCCTTCCTCTGTCGTCTCTCAGGTTTTTTTTTTCATTTATTCTTCACTACTTTTTACTTTTTTATTGCAATTATTAGAACTTTTTTAGATTCTCAGTGTTCAGTGTTCACCTTTCAAACTTGCTCCGTGAATATCGTTCTGTTCTTTGAATAGCTTCGTCTTTTACTACAGTGCATGATTATATACTGCTACAACAAATTAAGAAAATATGTTGTGATTGTTTTGTGACTAAATTGTTTTTTCCTGTATGAACTTGTTGATTCTTCAGAAGCAGAGTACACCATTCTTTTCTTCGTTGACTTCCCTGATATCAGTTACCGATGCAATCATTAAAATCCTGAAAAATCATCTGGTTAATGATGGTTTAATTTTGTTTTCTGTACATATTTCCAGAGCTATCCATGGCTTGGCAATTGGCATAGGATTTTCCATGACCAAACTACTTTGAGTCGAACCAAACTGGTCCAACTTTTTTGGGCCATTAAACAAAATCGTCTCTGATGGTTGGAGCTGCTTGGTCGAGCATTGGCCAGGTTTCTTAGGGCCTATCTAAGAGCCGGTCCCCTCCCCAAAGTCAAGGTGTTGCCCAACTAGAGGTACATGATGATATAAGTTATATAATAGTGGATTGGATCTGGATGGCGGGGCTAGGCTTGGCCCTCTATTAGTCATGGGTTAGTTAGTCATTACTGTTGTAGCCCAAACCCACTCCAAGGATTGAAAATCCAAACCCAACCCACCGTCGAAGTTGCATTGATGTTGCATCCCATAAAGTCTGTCTGTTAGTCTGTGTCATTGTGTGTTCATGTGTGATTCTTTATAGTAGTATAATGGATTAATGGAACAGAAACTAAACAGGTTGAGGTGGTGGAGTGTTAAGAATGTGAGGTTGGGGCTATTTCTCAGGTTGACTGTTTCCAAATCTAATTGCAACTGGCAAGCATATACAAATAATGGCATCACTCACTCCAGGAGTACTACTAAAGCTTCTCCAATGTATGCATTCTGAAGCAAGGGTATGCGGGGAATATCGATCGGTTCTTCTACAAGTGATCAGTATAGTTCCTGCCTTGAGCGGTTCTGAGCTATGGTCAAACCGTGGCTTCTTCATAAAGGTTTCAGATTCTTCACACTCAACTTATGTCTCATTATCCGATGAAGATAACGAGCTCATCCTAACCAATAAACTGCAACTTGGGCAATTTATCTACGTCGATCGAGTTGAGGCAGGAACCCCTGTTCCCACTCTTGTTGGGGTGCGACCTGTTCCTGGACGTAATCCCTGTGTGGGGACTCCCAAGGATCTAATGCGTATGTTAGTTCCTTCTGAAAGTCCAACCTCATCGCCCAATCATGACGGAACTGCTTCCAAGTCCATTGAATTATCGGAAGCTAAGGAGGAAAGCCCGAGGAAGAAAATTGTCATCAAGGAGGAGAAGGTGGTTGTGGCGTCAAGGTATATGCAGGGCGTACTGAGTTCGAATTCGAATTCGAATTCAAAAGGGTCTGAAGTTGATTCCAATAATGGAGGCAAGCCCAATGGGAATGACAGTTACGAGACGAAGAATCTTGCTTCTTCCAAATCCAATAAGAAAGAACTTAAAGGTCAGGTACGGTTTTCTATATATTTGCTCAAATAACATTCTAACTCCGTCTCAGTGTCTTGTTTCAGAGTTTTCAACATTATTGTAATCAACCCTTTGGATGGATCATAATCATATTAGTTTCTGCATATCTACTTAGCTTTCTCTTGGAATTCTATATGCCTATTCTCACTAATTTCCAGCAGAGATGTATCGGAGAGTATAATTGGTTCATGATCATTTGTGTCTAATAACAATTCGACATTTTCAGTACTAATACAGAGAACAATCAATTAATTGTAGAAAATGTAAATAGCAGTCAAAGTCTCAGTCTCTTATAAGGAGTTCCATTTTCTTTCAAATCAAAATACATAAGCAATTTCTTTTGGTGACCATATTATTTATTTTTTAAACATGGTTGGCTATAATTTCTATTAGCATTACAGACACGCCCAACTACTCCGAAGCCAGAGGTTTATGGGGCGAGCACGAAAGACAGAGAGGCTGTTGTACCTGCAATAAAGAGCTCAAAGGCTAAACAGAGCACTACTACGCCTAAACAGGACAACTCAAACTCCCATAGTTCCTTAAAAAGCAGAAACAAAAATCAAGCACGTGATTCCATTTCCTGGGACTCCCTTCCTGCCAACCTTTTGAAGCCAGGAAAGGTATATATTTTCTTTTTCTTCCTGTTTTTTTCATTCTATAAATCCAGATACTGATATATAAGAAGCCTATTATCAGAATTTATTACTACTTCTGAACTAAACAGCTTAATACTGAGTTATAAGATCAATAGGATGACTTTAAGTATAACTCCTTTCTGATCAATGGTCGTTTGATATTTCACAAGGGGATGCTTCGAAGGAGAAATTTAGCTTCTTTAATAGCGACAGAAGCTCAAAAAGAAGCATCTTCAGCAGCAACTCTTGTCAAGTGTCTCGGGTAAGCAAATTCTGATGCAAAGATAGCATAAAAGCTATTCTTCTCTTTTCGAGAAGATGAAAATGTTTCAGTAGGTATCATTTTATGCATTCCTCACCTGGATGCTTGTTCCAGTATGTTTGCCGATCTCCGCACCTCTGCTGCTCCAAGTAGTCCTCATCTCCCTATGTCCAAATTCTTTGCTCTGCACCGGCTGATCGACCAACAGACTGTTGTAACCGCTTCCAAGGAAGTTTCAACTAATGTTTATACCAACTCTCTCCCCTTGGATAAAGACAAATCTGGTAAAAATACTACTCCAACTTCTGGTAGAAATGTGCACAAGTCTCCAAAGCCCCCCATGGAGCTCAGTGCATCTGAAAGACTAGAATGGGCAAAAGGAGACGGTGATAAAGAAATCAAAGAATTGAGAGAAGTTCTCCTGAAAGAATCACAATCTTGGTTCCTGAAATTCTTGGAGGGTGCTCTGACTGCTGGGTTTCAGATGAGTGCCCGAGAGAAGAAAGGCAAGGATGGCGCTGGAGGTCGGAGAATGGGATCATCAGAGGGCCAGATTGCAGTAATGTTGTCACAGCTTAAGACTGCAAGTGATTGGTTGGATCAATTACGAAGCAAGGCAAGCCCAGAAAACAATGGGCTGGTGGATACCATCGACCGGTTGAAGCAGAAGATATATGAATGTTTGCTTTCTCAAGTGGATTCAGCTGCATCAGCTCTAGAAAGCCGGTCTGATCGTGGATGATTCGGCGATTTGTAATTAAAACATATTTATTGGTGTGTATGTATTTATGGGTAATTCAGAAATTGAAAAGCATTCCCTTAACACTGCAGATAATTTGAATCAAACGAGAATAAATGAAACCCAAACAAACATGGGTTACATATATTAGGAAGGAGGTTTTACGAATTATGGATTCACAAATGAATATGCACTGTAATTTTCATGGCTCTTGAGCAAACTTCTGTATATGTGATAATGATCTTTGATTTATACGAGACAAGAAAAAAACATAAATCAAATATTTGATGAAGTTATAATTAATGGTACATGACATATAGTAATTATGCTTACCTTTCCTCCTGCAAACAGTTACCCTGCCTGAGCATTCTGGTTGTAGTTGAATGCTTGCAGAGAGAGAGAGAGAGAGAGAGAGAGAGAGCATCCAAGCTGGAGAGTAAGGGCACGTGCGAAAATCTCAGAATTCTCATCCCAAAGATCTAGCACGTGCCCTGCTTCTCCAGCATGGGTCACTGTCTCCCTATGTTCCCTTGCCGCCGGCGGCCAATTTTCAATCAAATGCACCCAAAAGATATCACAACTCTTGGCTCTAACATGGGTGGCTTCAACTCACTTCAATACCTGGAACATGAAGGTCCTTTGGTTTATATTTATACAGATACATTTTTGTAATTAATAACAAAAGATATGCTTTTAAATATTTGATATCCTCCGATTCAGATTGTGGGTTTTGCTATAATTTGATTTAAAGTGTTAATTTAGATTGATTTATTGTAAAGCAAAGCCATGGGATCATTAACGACCCAAATTCTTTTTGTTAACTGTTTGTTGAATCTTGGCTGCCAAATTCTGAGGAGAAGAGGTGGTGTACCAGCCAGCCACCAACCTAAAATTCATCCTCTGCAATGGCGGACCACCCACCCACCATAGTCCACTGGAAGATCTAAAAGAGTACTTCAAACAGATTATTTAAAGCTTTAGAAGATTTTGTGGAGGATGATCAGATGGAAATGGAAATACACATATCTATTGTGGGGCAAACCATTGGATTTTTGAAATGGATATGAATCTGTTTGCTCCACCAAACAAAGCTAGAGCTAACAGTAACAAATTCTTGCTTGGAAGATCGGTTCATGGCTTCATGCATCATTGCTGGGTATTTGTCTCAGTAATCGTATATTGAAGGAATGCTGCTTAATAGAAAGAAGGATGCTCTGCTGCATTAGCCTGACCTGAATTCCATTTGACACTAATCAATGGTAGTTGAAATTTAAAAATATTACCCCTTTAGAGGTACGAGGAGTGTACGACCATGAAGAAAAATATTAATATTTAATTATAAAATAAATACACAAAATGAGGTGGTTAAATCAAAAGAAAAAGAAACTATATTGGTACCAAATGAGTATGTTTCACATCGACAGATCACAGGAACCGATTCCTCTTCATCCCAGTTCCACCCGGCCGACACTCCAATATTTGGATACCTTTGCATCATTTTCATCAGTTAAGCAGTTCTATAAACCACTCGATTGCCCCCCCACAACGTCCCACAGCACATCCCCGCCGTGTATTGAGAGCATCTCCCGATTTTTGGTACAATCATCGGGAGATGTTCCCAATATACGGCGGGGATGTGTTGTGGGGCATGGGGCGCAGACCTGAACTCGCAGGTGAGCGGACCAGTACCAAACCCTCACAAGTCACAGGAAGGACTGCGGACTAGGGAGGCTAAGGTCAGCAATTATCCACGCCAAACGCCAGAGGAACCTATCCCAATCCTTATCTTGAATATCTTTCCTACTGCTACTTGTCATATACAGATTCAAACACAAACCTGCAACTGTTTTTGATACCATTTCTCCCACCCCAAAACTCTCACACCTTATCTTTAATTTCCATTCCAATGGCTTCCATCTCTCTCCCTAAGCACACCCTCTCATCTGTTTTCCCCCCAACAAACCCCAAAAACCCATCTTGTCAAATCCTCCCAATTCTGTCCAGTGCGTCACAGTCTCAATTTTATGGCGTCAAGCTCTCTACTCGTTCTTATTCTCTTTCAATTCCAAGTTCCTCTTTCAGTAGGAGCTCTATTTTTGCAAAGGTAATGTGCTATTTTGTAATTCAGTTACAGCTAGATCTGTGTAATGTGGTGGTGGAGAAGGCTTGATTGATTGGGTTTTGGGGGTTTGTGAGTGCAGGTCTCAAAAGGAGATGTCCCTCCCTCGTTTACATTGAAGGATCAAGATGGGAAGAACGTTAGCCTTTCCAAATTCAAGGGGAAGCCGGTTGTCGTCTATTTCTACCCTGCTGATGAGACCCCCGGCTGCACCAAACAGGTAGGCAATGTGCTATTTATTACTTGATGATGAGTTATGTTAGCTCAACCCCTCTCTCTCTCTCTCTCTCTCTCTCTCCCCCTCTATATATATATATATACCATCTGATGAGTGATGACTGATGAGATAGGTTTGGGCCTGCTTGGGGGTTTCTTCCGCCGATGTAGGTCGCATTTTCAGTTTGACCCTTAATTTGTTGAGTGGGGGCAAATGGAAATGGGGCTCTCTTAAATCCCTAAATTCTTCTATACCCATCAAATCAAATCAATAATCGATCAAGAGGAAATAGGAGTATATGCATGGTTGCCCTTTTGTTCATTAAAACACAATTAACAAATTGCTTTTGCTGATATGGCATTTAAAAAACAATATCATGCATATAAATGGGTTGGGTCATGGGTGGACAAAACAGTCGTCCAGAAATTGAGTGGGGTAGTAGAGGACCATTGATTTGATATCTTCATCTTGATTGCAAGTCTCGAATTGCATATACTACTTTATTGTATTTTGCAGAAACTGTTGCCAGAAGAAGGAATTATAAAAACAAAAAAAGAAGATGATGCATTCATTCATTGTATTGTATGGAATATTCCATTTGGACGATATGATTGATATATGATGTAACAGATTGAGTGGTGATTGGTGAAGGAAGGTAGTAACAAGCTAAGTAACAAATTACTCTCTCACACGTACACAGGCCTGTGCATTCAGAGACTCCTACGAGAAGTTTAAGAAAGCAGGAGCAGAGGTTGTGGGGATCAGCGGAGATGATGTAGCATCACACAAGGTAATTAAATTAAATAAACATAACAGTGCTCTAACATATATGTACAACAAGAACCTTCACATTGTTGAGCGGTGCTGAAAAATTGAAATACAGGGATTTGCAAAGAAATACAGGCTGCCCTTCACATTGTTGAGCGATGAAGGTAACAGGATAAGGAAAGAATGGGGAGTGCCGGCTGATTTGTTCGGAACGTTGCCCGGGAGACAGACTTACGTGCTCGACAAAAAAGGTGTGGTTCAGCTCATCTACAACAATCAGTTCCAACCTGAGAAGCATATCGATGAGACTCTGAAGCTACTTCAAAGCTTATGACCTTTCTTTCTAATTTCTTTTTCTTTTCATTTTCCCTGCAAGTACGTTGTAGTTGTATAATCCCAGATTGAGCTCCGACCCTCCTATCCAACCCAAGCACGCATGGCGGGACAGCCATTGTTGGAACTTGCAACCGTGTAAAGAATATATATCAATTATTATTATATTAATTGGAAGTACGCCCATTATTGTTGGATGCAATCTGAGTATTTATGCATCGAATATGTTCGATGAAAGATATTTTCAACCCTAAAGCCTAAACTCTGACCTGAACTTCACAGTTCACAGTTCACACCACCCACGACAGGTTACCCATTCTGAGAACAAGCTTCAATTTGAGCAACACATAATTTTTCGGAGAAATATCTGACACCCTTTGGCGTGTGGCCCAAATTGGATGAAATGACGTTGGGGGGTGGTGGTCGTTGCATCAGACAATAGGTAATAGGTAAAGCTAGAGGTGTAAATTAAACGGGCGGGCCGTGCCGCCCTCAGGGATAATTTGGGGGATTGGCTTGGCACGGCCCAAGTGCTGTGTTGTGCCGCGGGCTTGGGCTGGGTGGGTTGCAGGTCATGCCAGATTAGGTCACAGGCCGGGCTTTGGGTGTGGGTCGAATCAGGTTAGACTGTTTTTTTTTTTTATTTCTTTGTTAAATAAACCTAAAATATTTAACTTTTTTTTAGGAATTATTTGAAAAAGTAAGGATCTGTTTGGTTTGCGGAAATAGGGGTCCAGAATCGGAATCGAAATGGACTATTCCGATTTCAACTGTTTGGTTGGGTGGAATTGGAATCCCATTCCCATTCCTACTGGAATGGCATTCCCCCATTTGAGGGAATGGTCATTCCCAGCCCCTCCCTTGGGAATGAAATCCCATTCCTACTGATTTTAATTCCCATTCCCATTCCTGTCTAAACCAAACAGATTATGGGAATGGACCATTCCGATTTCGACTCTAGAGGATTTTGATTCCGATTCCGATTCTAATTCCGACTACGAATCAAACGGACCCTAAGAAATCTAACAAAGAAATGAAAAAAAAAATACTTAACCAAATAAGAAGTGAAAGAGACAAAGACTCAAAGTGAATAACAAATTGGAAGAAAAATAGGAATTTTATTTCATTTAAATTTGAATGATCCAAAGAATACAATGGTTGGATGAATAAAATATGAAAATTGGAAAATGGAACAAATTAATAAAATATAAAAAATACAATATAGTTACAAATTGAAAATAAAAAATTATGTTATTAAAAAATATCAAATAAATTAAACAAATTTTACAATAATTTGAAAAAATGCTATACAACTATTGAGTATACAAAAAATATTGACTTCATCATTTTCTCCAATTGTTCTTGACTTTGATCATCTGCTCTAGGTGAAACATTAGGTGTAGTGTCATGCCATCCTTTGTCTTATAATCTATCTTCAACATTTCATCCCATCTTTAAACCAGATGCACATCTCTAAACTTTCATCATTCATACAACTTCTCTTGTCGTCCAACACCATAGTACCTACACTAAAACAAGACTCCTATGAAACTGTAGACATCGACTAAAATATCAAAATTATTTGTTCATTCCGAGGTGAAGGAAGAATCACCTAAACTAGAAAAATTTTGCTTGTAAATAAAAATTAAGTTTAGTAAATGAATTTGTTGTCGAGGCAATGGATTTTTGTCTCTTACTTATTAAATAAAAAAGTTTTTCTCTTCCACTATTGGACTCAAGTTAAGAAGTGGAAGATACAAATTGTATAAGTTGTAGAATTTTTATTATTCATTGTTACTTYAGATTCATATAAACTAGACATTTCAAATAATAAACTATTAATTTTTTTTATTTCTAATTTCAATATTCATATTTTCACAATATGTTTTAAGTAAAATATCTAAACCATCTTTCTAATCATAGAATCTAATATTGTAGCTAARCAATAAAGAGGAGAAATGTTCTTCCAATATTTTTTTAAATTTATTTCCATTATTTCAACAATACTTTTAAATTGTGGATTCTTTCTATATTTTGCAAAACAACCACTAATCATCATTAATTGATAAGCTAAATTACAACTAGTTGGATGATAAATATCCAATCATTCATTAGTTGCATCATAACAATATTTTAAAAAAACTCTTATACAAATTGCCATTTCCCGGTCTTCCTCAAATATAATATCAGTAGGCATTTTTGCATTTTGTGAGAAATACAACTTTCTAACATAGCGTAGGTAGAATTCCATTTATGTTTAACATCTAATATAAAATGTATATTTTAAATCATAATTTTGACATAAATATTTAAATTCTTGTTTTCTTTCTCCAAAACTTTTAATATATATATAATACATTCTAATTTTAGAAATATGAGTATAAATAATATTTAAAGCATCCTTCGTACATAAATTTAAGATGTGACATGCACATCTGATATGAAATAATTTACCATTTAAACATGATTTTAATTGAGATTTTAAAATATTTATTGTTGAATCATTATTACTAGCATTATAAAAACTAATAGAAAATAATTTATTGTCAATTCCATAAGCATGCAAAGTATTTAAAATACTTGCAACAATAATTATAACATAACAAGATTTTAAATAGTTAAAATAATGAAATTATGTAATAAATTTAAGAATTTCTTAAAAGTAGAAAAATAATTATAACATAATATTGAAATTAATAAATTAATAATGAAATTATGTAATAATAGTATAAATTTTAATTTTATGTACTATTTAATTCAATAAATAATTACTATTTTTAAATTTAAATAATGATATTACTTAAATAACTAAATAATATTGTAAATAACTAATTTCACTTATATCAATTAATAATTCATGAAAACAACTTTCAATAAAATTAATCTTTATTAATAATAATTTTAAAGACTTAATATATATTTATTATATAATTATATATACTAAAATTGCTATTTATTGTATTTTAGTAATTATTTATTGTTTTTTGTGATAAATATATTTTCAATAATTATGTATAAATTTATTTTTGTTTTTTATTTAATAGAAAATTTTCAATAATTAAGGGAAATTAAACTATTATTATTGAACTTTTTAAAGTATATATTATATATATGGCGAGGTTGTTCGATTTTGGTTAGTTTACAAATGGCCAAAGCGAAACTGATCCAACCTGGTTGGGTTGGAAAATTATTGAACCAGGTTGAGTTGACCGGATTGATCGGTTTCATCAATTTGATGAACCACCCTAACTGAAATTAATTATTATTATTATTGTATTATAAAAAAATTATTAAAAGTAGTATATAAAATATATATAATTATTAATTATTTAAAAAATTAAAATACAAAACAATTTATCTATGATTTAGCTTTCGCTTAACAAAAGCCCGTTCATGGCATGAGTCCCCGCTATTGTTTTTTTATAAAAAATTGTTGAAACTCGAATTAAGTGGTCTTAATTTTAGGTCGAGATTTTTATTCGAAAAAATAGTATTTATATACATATTTATGATAAATTAAGACAAGAAAAGAAATATAGATTCATAGAATCAATAATTTGTTCCGATATTTGGAGTCGTGTAACGGTGTTACTCCATTGCAAAGTTGAAACGATGACAAAAGCTAAATGGGGATTGAGTGTGAGGTCCATATTAAGAGTAGTGAGCACCTGGAGGTGCTGGACCTCTACCCTGCAAAATCCAAATTAAAATGGTCCACCGTCCACCTACACCCTTGGTGCAACTTTTAAGTGGGGGAAGTGGTTTTGTGGTCTGCTTTTCTCAAGGCCCCATCAGCTCAATTAATGAGAGATGTTTCACTGATCACTGTTTGTTTGGGTGTGGGCCGTGTGGTCCACCCACCCACATAAGAGAGAGACGTGCAGCCTTCCTTTTCCTTTGTTCCTTTGGTGGCCCCCAACGTGGCGTCCTTTGTCTGATTGGAGATCAGGGTCTGCGATTACGTGGTACTGCTATTACCTCTCSTCTACCTACCCCAATAACCGTTTGATTGTGAAATATCACATCAACCCCCTCTCAGAGTCTCAGTCACTGCACCGGTCCCACAATTTCTTTTAAAAAGTAATAAAAGTAAATTAATAATGCTCATGGAAAAGGAAAATAATATTTATTTGAGTCATGGTCGATTACTTGACGTATTCACATCGCTTCCAATCCATGGATTTTAKGAGCAGATATGGAACTAAAATAAAAATAAAAATAAAAATAGGAGAAGAGAAATAAGTTTATTAGTGTTGATTCATCTGGCTTGTGCATGGTAATAGCATCCTGCCAAAGTTATGACGCTTCTTCATCTGTCGTTTCTGAATTCTCTCTCTGGTCTGGAAAGAGAAGCGAAAACAAAAAAGAAACAATTAAATATTCATTAAAGAATGGTGAACAGGTGAAGAAGGGCGGGGGAAGGCAGTTGCTCAGAATAGCGATCGAGTCGAGGGAGTTGTGGGTGAATGTTATACGTTGAAGCCTGCTTCTGGTTTTTTAATTTATCCCACAATACACACCTATTTGTGGAGCGATTGGCGGAAGCAGGTTTTTTCAGACAGAAGCTACAAGCTAGTTATGCATTTTTTGCTAGCTTGATGTCATAATCGATCAGGTTTGTTGTTATTTTCTTCTCATCCTTGACAAATATAATATATATAATAATAATAATAATACCTTCCTTCACTGTATTTAACTTCCCCTGTTCTAGTACTTAACCTGAAAAGTAACTTGCTTGAAATTAGAAAATGCAGATTTCAACATAATAGTTTAAGAAATTACGGTGTTATTCTTTCAATTGATAAATAATAAAAGTTTTCGTTATGAGTTATATTTAACTTTTAATTTCTTTTTCTTTCTAGGGATCTCTAAACTGATTTCTCTATTATTCCTTGATCAACTCGATCGGTTTTCTGGGTACTCAACATACAGTCCACTTAGGGGGTGCTAGCTTGTTTTTTTTTTACCTTGAAAATAAAAATCAAAAAGCAACAATTTCATTTTATTCTTAATTTTCTTACATTTCTCCTTGTATATATGTTATTCAATTTAATCTTTGGGATTGTTATCTTCTGACAAGTCAGAGCAAGAGGGGAACGGCTTTCCTCTTAATTTGTTCTTTCGAAATCGTCCAAAATCCCAACTAAAGAGCGCACTGGTATGGTATGACACGAATCCCTTCTCTTGATGTTGCAGTGAATCAGCCATTTCACTTTGAATCATTGGATTCAAGATGCCCATTTGATACCCTTACTCTTTCTTCTTGTCTCAATGTATTTGTAATTTGTCCCTCCCTGCAGGCTACCTCTTATTTCTCTATTTATTTATTTTCTTCTTCTCCTGATTACCTTTTCCCTTTATAATGATATAATAAGAACCTCGTTGAATATCATGACAACATTAACAATATTCATTTAGATCAAATGGATAAAAATTAAATAATAACAGTACTGTTGCTTTTTCGTTAATCCAATAATCCAACATTACTTATTACATACGGCCTTATTTTGGTATTTCATGTAAACTGACACTAATAAATTTACATCAATCTTGTATTGGGTAATTGTATAATAACAAATTAATAATAGAAGAGGTGTGGAGCATTTCTTCTGCCTTATGGTGAGAAAATAATACAAGCTAATGAAGAAGAGAGTGGAGAAAACATATATATATATATATATATATATATATTAATAAAGTGAATAAAAAAACCCCAATAAATAATGAGAAATTCTGGTGTCAGCCTAGCTTTTGGCTGACGTGATTGAGGGAATCTGGTCCCGAATAGAAGCCCATCGATGATGGCAGAGACTGAAACTGTAGAGCAAAAGAGGAAGAGGAAGAGGAAGAGGCCATCAATCATCATCACAACTCACAAGGTTGTCATGACATCTTTTGCTTATGCGTACGTACATGTTAATGTGGAATGACACGCAATGCATTAACCGTCGGTTATACTTCCCAGCGACTTCACCAATTGCTCCTCTCTCTACTGCTCATGTCATGCATTATTATGTTATATATCAACTTAACCTGAGTTTTCTCTTTCTTTTCTTTATATGGGAATGGGATTGATTATTATTAGTCCTTCTGGGCTTCTTGGATTAGAGAACTGCATAATGGGTGTGGGGGAAAGCGTTTCAGCTCATAATTGTTAGTGGATAATTGACTGGTAAGGGGGCAGGAATTCTTGATTTTGGTAAATAAGTTCAGCATGCACAGCACGCAGATAACCAGAAAAAAAAAAAAAAAAAAACTGCTAAACTCATTATTTCCACTACCCAGTTATGCCCAGAAACCCAAACCCTAACAACCTATTATATTCTTTGCCAAAACAGGGAAATTTTTTATAACAGTTACAAACAAATCACATATTGATATTGGAATGTCTCCAGCCATTTATAGCGACTGTGACATTGAAAGACCCCTCACAGTCACAGCACAGCTCTGCCGTGTTGTACTTGGCTTCCTGAAAAGAAAAGAGCAAACCCATGATTCTTTTAGTCCACCTTCTCTCCACGTTCCATTTCATTTTCACATATGAACCAAAGGAGAGAAAGAGAAGAAAAGATCGCTGGAGAGATGAGGAATCGATCAAATAAAGGAGGATTGGAGAAAGAGAGGATTCATAAGATAAAAGAAGGGCCTCATCTCTCTGGTGCTTACATCCGTAGCCTTGTCAAACAACTAACCTCTTCGAGAGCAAAAGACCCCATGAACCCAAAACCTTCAGATTGTGTACCTTCAAATCTCGCTAAATTCAGTGAGGGTCCTGTCGAATCACAAGCAGCCTATCCGCCCCAACAGCCCAAGAAACAGGTTAGGAGAAGACTAAATACCAATAAGCCTTACAAGGAAAAGCTTCTAAACATGGCTGAAGCCAGGAGGGAGATTGTCACCGCACTAAAGTTACATAGAGCAGCAATGAAACAGGCCAACGAAAAACAGCAGCAGCAACAGTCCCTACTGCAACAACAACCACCACCACCACCGCCATCACAGCCACTACAGTCTCCTCAACCATCTCTAGAAGAGAAGATGAAATTTGCTTGTGGAAACCCCATAATCTATCCATCAAACATCACAAACTTCACAGATAAATATCTACACCACCAGTCCTACCCATCTTTATCATGTCCTAATCATTTCTTATTGGCTTCTCCCCCCGCTATACCATTTTCAATTACTCAAGATCTCAGTCTCACCCAGCTCCCAAACCAACCCCTTGGCCTAAACCTCAACTTCCATGATTTCAAAAACCTGGATGCCATCTTTTTCCATGATCCATCATTCCCCTCTTCTTCTTCTTCTTCTTCTTCTTCTTCTTCTTCTTCTTCTTCTCCTTCTCTCCTGATCAACGAAGAAATACCTTTGGCTGCAACATCACCGGAGGTGGTGGCCGATTTAGATAATTCTGGTGTCAAGACAAAAGACCAGCATCCAGCAATGGATGATGACGAAATGGCAGAAATCAGATCCATCGGAGAGCTGCATCAGATGGAGTTGAATGACAGATTGAGTTTAGTAACATCGGCATGGTGGTTTAAGTTCTTGAAATCGATGGAGGTTGATCCAAACACAAAGGAGGATAGAGAAGAATATAGGTTTCACCCATTTGATGAGGCCGTGGAATTCCCATCTTGGTTGAATGCAAATGAAAGCTGCCTCTTGCAACACCATATGGAAGATCACTATTCAGAGGACTACTTGCAAGAACCTGGTTTGCCAAGGTAAGATGTTCCCGAATTTGAAGAAATTGTTGGCCTGCACTTTTTTTTTTCTGTAAAATGAACGTAAAACTATATTTTTTTTTTCATATTCCTAAAATTTGCACTGGGGTAAATGCATTGGAATGCAAATAGGCTGAGTGTAAATTCTGGTTATGGTCTGGTCCCACCTTATATGCAAGAGAATGTAGGCAGGTAGGAGGAGGGTTATGTGTTGAGCCAGGATTGAAAACAAAAATTTTGCACACTTTTGACATCCAGTCGCATATCGAAAATATCCCGTGTACTTGCATGTTAAATTCAAGGGGAGATATTTGCATGTTCTCAAGGTGTTTGCACGATTTTTGTTATTACTTATTTAGGAGTGAGGTAGAAAGCAAGATGAAGTAGTCCCCATTTAATTTTATACAAGAAAATTGAGGTAGGAGGAAAGTGGTGCAAATTTAGCATCAGTTTTTTGAACAAAATTTATGGTACTACCAAGTGCAAATGAGACAGAAAAAGTACAAGTTTTGTATCAGATAGGAATACAAATCATAATTGCAAATAAATAAATGCAAAACTACACCAGGTACAAAATTTGCATCTAGTTCAGATTTGCACTGCAACTAAATGCCAGTAATTGAAATATTCCAGCTATTATTTCTATCATTTCTTGTAACTAATTAAAACTTTTGTTTTCCATCCCATCTGATTTATTTTGATATTTATGTCAAAGTGAACATAGTTTTCCACCCATTTTACGTCTGAACTGATAAGTATATATGGAACTGTCCTACTTGAATAAGATTAATTATGAGATGTTTACCAAAACACAGATTATGGGCTTTTACTTATACAGTAGGATGTAGTGAATATTTGGATATATGGTTTATTACATGAAATTTGGTAATTGGTGCTTGGATATTCTGCCATGTCCTTGGGCATTTGCATGCAGGTTAAAGCGGGGCCCAAAAGAAATTTTGAACTAAACAAATATCGAAGCATCATCCCAACGAATTATATTCCTGCTTACTTGATACATAAATAAACATAGGTCTTGGACACATGATTTTTCTAATATTGAGTTTTATTTTGGATTGCAGCCTGGATCTTGGAGAAATTAATGGAATGGATGGCGACTGGCTAGCCTAACTCAGATTTGATTTTCTATTTTAGTTTTCTGATCAAGCGTTCTATTTTAGTTTTATTTCCGTGTTTTTCTCATGCTGTCTTTTTAATTTTGTGCTATACAATCACATTCAGAAATTCGAGAATAAGATGTATATTGAGGTCTATCAGGTTTAGACAATTGCAGTGTTCACTCTTCAGTCAAGTCATTGAACAGAGTAGGGGTGTAAATGAGGTTCCTTGATTTGCAGAATTTCAACTACATTGGGCTGTTGTTCCTGCTGGGATTCATTCAAAATTTTACAAATGCTCAATTCAACCCAACCCAAGTTACATCCCTAACCCCAAACTGGCACATGCATACCATTCCATTTCACCTTTTTTTTCTTTCTTTTTATAGAATTGACTGATCTTGATTGATCCCTCACTCCATGGTATCATCATCTAGAATGGTTGGCTTCTGGTTGTTAAGGAATGTTTATGAAGTGGTTAATTAATTTTCTTTTTCCTGAAATTGCGCTTCTTTTATTAAAAAGGTTCCATTTCAACTGGCACATTGGGATGGGCTTGGGCTTGGGCTCGGGCTCGGATGAACAAAACTGGAGGGGGGAGGGGGGATAATCTTAATTTTAGGCTCAATATTGAGCCAGGCTACGTTATGAGCTATAGGTAACCTTGGCCCAGCCCGACCCATGTATGCAATATCGGCGTAACAACATGAGCCATTCTTCAAGCTTTTTATTTTTTATTTTTTTTATTTAAATCGTTGATGGTTTAGGCAGCTAAAGAGGGCTAACATGGACCTTAGGGTGAATGTATGGCCCTCTAAATGCCATCTCCGTTTAAGCGAAACCCAAGAAACTCGAAAGGTCAGGAAGACGAATGACGAATGTGAAATTCTTATGATCTCAAATGAGATTTAGATAGGGTAACCAACACAGAAGCATGTATAGAAGAAATGGCGTAAATATAAAATTTAGATGGAGAAGATGGAATATATAGGAAGATTGAGAAGAAAAAGTATGATTGTGTTAATGAATGGTAAAAGTTAAAAAAGTTTCCAGCAATCGCTCCATCTCAAGTGTCTGTAATCTCTGATAATTTATGGTAGAATCGGCTCTTATTAATTCACCTGCTGGGTGCCGACCTGCAAATTAAATGAATGATCTCTGACCCAGCACCAGAAAATTACTCTTGAGGTGACCCAGCGAGATCGAGTCCACATAAGATGATCGAAAAGACGGTGCTAGCTAGCTAGAAGTAGAACTAACGAGTAACGAATTCAATTCTTTCGTCTGAAATATTTGAAAGGATGCATGGATTGGGTGGAACGAACTCCAATGAAATGCAGAGAATGCTCCACGTTTCCCTTCTACTACTACTACAGAGTTTACGCGAAGAAGAAGAAGAGGAAATGGATATGTCAACCCACACCTACACAACATACGGGATTAATATGCGGGTGAGGTGATAGGTCAAGAGTAAGAATTCTAGCTCCATTGACTTAATTGCTACTCAGAATTATCATGATGCAACTCATAACTTCTGTGGCTTCTGATGGGCCGTAGAATTGGAAGTTAAAATTCCAACACCTCAAAGTTGAAAACGTCCACCATTAAAAGTCTCTGCAATTTGACCCGAATAAGTAAACGCAATTGGAGTTAACCTCCATTAATATTTCATGCAACCTGCATTCTCATTCTTCCACTTTGTTTTTCTTCCATCTATACTCCCTCTAATTCGTCAATAAAGTGCTGGCAATGTGCTATTTGGAAAGTGATGTACTCTTGACACGTGGAAGACGTGAAATTGCATTGCAGCCACACATTCCATTTTTTCTAGTTTTTTTTTTTTTTTTAATTAAATGGCTTAACAAGGAAGGAGATATGAGGCGATCGAGTCTCCTGGACTGGATTACACACATTCCACTGTTGATCTCGGCTGATCGGACTGGTTATCCGGCCATACTTTTGATCCGGCTCAACCTTTAACTTGTCAGATGAAGAAATGTTGATTTCGTCTGCGACGCATAGACCTAAACTGTTGGACCATTGATCTCTACTTAATGGGTTGTTATTATATATATTAATTTTATGATCCCACGGATCGACCTATTAACCCGGACAATTAAATAATTAATGAAAGTTTGAACTCCACACCCAGAGAGTAAAGCGGTTCAGCTTCTGTGCTAGGTTTAAAATATTGGACACACGTTGTCCCACTAGCCATATTTTTTTATTCTTCTAATACAAAAGTTGTCCACAGTGGATGCTGTAAGACAAAACTAACACTTCTTAATTATCACATCTTTGTAGATATTACAAGTAATTAATCCCTTACTAGAGAGATATTACTGCTAATAGTAGTATCCCTTTTTATTTTACTAGAGAAAATAGTAATTAAGGGCCTTATTTTCTTACTCATTAGCTTAATACACTGCTTAATTTTCTATAATAAGCATAATATAAGCAAATTAAACAGGATTTCTTTGACGGAATTTCAGAATTAATTTCGTCAATTTTCCTTCTCGTAATCCCGGCTATTGTAGGGACTGAAGGCTTCCAAGAACCAGTTCTTCTTTCTCCATGAACTCCATCCCATTTCTTCACATATCTCGTCACTGTGGTTGATACTAAATGTGGAAATGCAGTGCCTCTTGTAGAACCTTGTTGTTCTCTTCATAACTTCTATCTCCTTCGTGGTTTGCTCCAGCATCTTTTCCACAGTTGGAAGCTTGAATTTCTCATCAACAAGTCGAGCCATCCATTTGCACCGTAACTCGGCCGAGTGCAAATTCGAAACGCTCTCAAGGTACCCGACAAATGCCATGTGAGGAATTAAAGGATGGATTGTACCCCTGAACAACAAATTAATCCACGATACAACTCAGTTCCCTTAGACCTATATATTCTTCATTCTTCAATTGCAGAGCTTTTGCAAGGGTTATTGATCATTTGATACAATAATCTCAAAATTTTAAAAATGTTTAGGGTGCTTCTAATTCGCAGTCGGAATCAGAATGGCCTATTCTTATAGTCTGTTTGATTCAGACAGGAATGGGAATGAGAATGAAAATTGGAATCAGTAAGAATGAGATTTCATTCCCAAAGGAAGGACAGGGAATGGGAAAATGCCATTCCAGCGGGAATGAGATTCTGATTAGGCAGGACAGAACAGTTGATCTGCTGACCCAGTGAGCTATCCGGATCATGGTCCTGAGCGGTTCTGATGGGGTGAATGGTCAAAGCAATGTTTTAAAAACTGACCCAGAAACTAAACCATTTTCTTTTTAGGTCATTGGTTCAATTGTTCAGGTTGGTCTGTTTTTGATTTTTTTTTTTTTTATAAATAAAAAGTTGAGATTTGAGGCCAACTGAACATGAAGTTAATTATCCAAAAACTAAAAATCAAAATCAAAATCATTCCAATTGGGCCATTGATRGTTCAAATGGGTCAATGGTCAACCACCCTGGCTAAATGGGTTATGACTAAGTGACTGTCTTATTGATCCAACCGGCCGGGTGAACAACGGATTGCAAGCAGTGGGTCAAAGCAATGAGTTTTTAAGTTTTTAAGGGCACTGAATCACTGATTGCATGGGCTTATATATATATACCTGTATAAGGGCATGATACCAGAAGAATCTTCAATCAAACTACGGAAAGGCTGAGGGAGTAATGCCTTCAATTTGCTGTGTCCATCAAAACCAGTTGCAAGAAGTACAATGTCAGCCTGCAACTTGGTGTTATCATCTAACTGGACTCCCCCACTCCAAAATTCCCATGTTGACGCCTTTTTGAAAATGATCCTTCCCTCATCAGCCTCTGAAAAGAAATTTTCTGGCAAGATGGGCATCTGACAAGAGGCATAGTCCTCCTCGAATGGGTGGTTTGGTTTCAATCCATATTTTATCAAGGGAAGCTTCCATACCAGATACGACTCAATAAACTTGGAGACTGCTCTCCTCTGTATACCACAAACATATATCTCTTGTTTGTTAGTACGTACACTAATTAATTAGCCAAGACATTAATTGAAAAACGATTTCCCACAACAATTAAACGAACCTACAAATTTACAATTAAAAGCAAATTAAAGAGAGCTATTGCTTAGTGCTTACCAAAGGAGACAAAAGGCGGCAAAGGACTGCTCTGAGCAAGCCTTGGTTAGGACGTTGGTGCAGAAATTGGGAACATCTGGTTGAATAGAACAAGAAAAAGGGCCAGCCCCAAATGCTATAACAAGGAACTGTCCAATGTAAGGTCCTTATCACCATCGTACATGGTTGCCCATCTGCTCCTTTATTTAAATCCAACCCCAATACATGCGTCAATTTCCCACAATACCAAACTTTTTTTAGTGCAAATTAGCTTCATACAAACACAACCTCTTAGAATCGTTCAATGAAAATTTGATGATGATGATGATGATCCAAGTAATTGGAGAGGGGAGGGCGTGTTACGAATTACTACCTACGCATAAGTGCTTATGGGTGTTTTGTGAAAAATCACTTATTTTTAATAAGGCAGTATAGGTATTTTGAAAATTATATGGTGGGTGGAAAAGCTATAGGTTCGTTTTTAAAAGACATTCCGCAAAAATAAAAACCAAAATTTCGACCTTATTCAAAATGGGCTTTAGTTCCTGGAAAAAAAAAAAGAGTTTTGGAATCATCATTTACCCGGATGGTCGGACTGTTCGGCCCAGGAACAACCCAAATAACTAGTTTCATTTTACCCTAAATCGGTCATTGGCCAAAACCTGTTGAATAGGTCAGCTATCTATCAATCTGACAGCTAAACCCGTTCAATTTGTTTAATGGTTTTTGATCGTTTTTTATATTTTAATTAATTTTTATTTTTTAAGTTGGAATGGGCCGTACATTTGAATTAGACAGTTGAACCGTCAACCCAAAAATCAGTGACCAGAACAGTTCCAATTTTGGGTCAGTTTTTAAAATCATAGAAAAAAAAAGTGATTATTTAGCCTTGTTTAATTTTTCAAAAGCATATATATAAGTATTTATTGATGGTCTTGACTTGAAATAAGCGTTTTTTTCGATAAACATTTAAAAATAAATACTTCCAAACGTATCCAAATTTTCTATGTATCTGCAATTCACGGCAGGTAGAGAATGTGTAGAAAATTCAGTTTGCTCCAAAACGGGGGCTTAATCTGTGTTGGCATGTTGTCGTGCATGGGCTGGCGTAAAAAAAACGTGGAACTATTTGAAAAGGCTTTAAAAAGAAAAATTAGAGGACTGAAAAAACTTAGCTCCCTAACGGTCAAATTTCACAAGATTGTTGTAAACGTGGGATGTTGACTTGGACTTTGACTCATGGAATTCTTGCACGTAACATCAACCAATCAACCATAATCGTGTTAGCAAAACCATGCAGTTGCTTTGATAAATTAATTAATTAAAGAGAAATTACCAATATAAAAGACATTCTATTTTTCTAATGGGGGGTGAGTACTGAGTACTACTCTAGTTAACCAGAAACCCAACTTTAACAAATAAGGACTTTATGTTATATAGCAGTACTACTCTAGGCAACAGATTCTAATTCACCCTTAACCTTTTCGTTGGCCAAAAACCGTTGATTTGATCCATTCGACTCAGACAACTGAAATGGAATTGGATGGTCAAACCACTGACCAAAAGACCAGTGGTCAAAGCGGTTCCTTCGGATCGATTTTTAAAACATTGTTATAGAACCCAAATTAATAGCTTAAGCCTACTCAGCTCAGCAGGGAAGTAAAATGAGTCTATATATACCTTGATTTGCCTCTGCACATTCAACAGCCAAATCAATCGCTGACTTCTTGTACCCAATTACTACAACCTTTTTTCCTTTGAGCAGTTGATATGCGGTTTCTTTGTCCAGCTTGCAGTAATCGAGCGAATGCAAGACCTTACCCTTGAATATTTCTGGGCCTTTGTTGGGTGCAAAAGTTGGGATTCTTGGCACGTCACCATATTTACCAATACACACCACAAGAAACTCGAAAGCGTACCACTGCAACCACACAATCGGTGAAAGTTCAGCAAGAGAAACTTAATTATTCTGGACTTTTTTTTTTTTGTTATCCAAAAAGGAATTATATATATTCATGTCATCAGATGATCAGAGTTGCTGTCGATCGATGATGGTGCTGATGTTGGACCGCACCAGTGAAATGAATTGATATCATGTGAAAAAAGAAATGCTTAAGCAGCACAGTAACAAATATAGACAAACAACAGAAAATTTCTTTTATGAGAGATATTTCAGCTCTACGTGAAAGAATAGAAAACTTTCTTTAGTACGTGTTTAAAAAGATAGGGTGTGTGATGAACTTGTTTTAGACATAGTAAAGCTCAAAATATTGCCATGATGATCAAAAGAGGAAAAGAGTACGTACTGTTTTGGTATGGTAGCTAGCTTAAATATATCTTCCACAAATTAAAACCATTAGTGGAAAAAGAAAAACAAAAAGACAACAATTGACACATGCAGTAGTCGAAATGTTAATTAGTAGATATGAAATGAAATCATCATCAATAATTAATATGGAAAAAACAGCGAGTGTGATGACCTGAACGACGACATCCGCTTGGTTAACGTTGGTCTGGACGGCAACCTCCCAAACGGGCAGACCGCTGAACAGGCTGCCATACTCTCCAGATTTCCGACCAAGCACGGCAGTGCCGTGGTCACCAGTAAACCGGATCTCGACCACCTTTGAATTGAACCTGACGTACTTCAACACATCGAAGTGGGTGGCATAGGAATGCAAGTAATCCAATATCTCAATATGGGAAGGAAAACTAGAATTGTCTCTTTCGGGCCATGGGTAATCTGAAAACTCGTAATCGCATCGAGGGGTCTGGAGTTTTGTGGAATGGAATGAGCAATGCCTCCACACCCCCCCAATGGAGTCCGTTGCCTCCAAAACAATCGGGTCATAACCGGATAGCTGTTTAGCAGCTGCGATACCGCTAATGCCAGCCCCAATAATGCCCACTTTCGACACCCGGAGGCACCTTTTCTCGCCTGCACCCATTTTGCTTTACTTATGCTGAGGACTGAGGAGATGGATGGAGTGTGTACAACTGACTACAATGGCCGATCGAGGGACCGTCGGACATTTATAGATGGCCATTAGTGCTTGGTCACGTGAGAATCACGTCAGTAAGACTGAAAAGATGGGTGGGTGGTGGACAATTTTTTTCGAATTCCCTTGTCATCAATTAGTATTTATAATTTCGAAAAAAAAATGTTGTCACTAAACCATTCATTACTTACATTCTCTTACTATATATATAATTATATATACATATGTTACTATATTAGCATAGTAATCCTATAAATTATAAAGTGGTGGTCGGATAGATTTATCTATAAGCAATCAAGGTTTAAAAAATCGATACAATATGCCTGTTTACAGGTGTTTTGGGACCCCATTATTTTCTAATGAAAAATATGAGTATTAAATTATCTAAAAATTAAATTTCAAAAAAATTAAAAAGAAAAACATATTTTCGTGTGATTCAAAGTATTGATATGCCTCTACCGACTCTTTGAACCATGTAGACAACCTTGTTTCCCTTATTCATGGAAAAAATAGGAAAAAGAAAAAAAAAAAAAAAACTTGCTTTCCCTTCTTTCCTTCAATCGGTTCCTTTTTTTTTTTCCTGTGCAGAAAAACTATAATTATTCAAGTTTTATTTTACAATTTGTTTCTCTTTTTGGGTGTATTAATTAAACACAACCAAGACAATTCTACTCTGTCAAACAGAAATTAATGATTGTAGCTTGACTCAACTTATTCTAGAAAGCCTTAACATATTACTTGAATTCGCTTGTTTTAGCAATAGAAAAGGAACAAAAAGGGAAGCTTATTTTTGCTGAATATATCTTCATCAGGGAGGTGAAGAATTTATTTTTTCAGGTAAAGAATCATTAAGTGATCTCATGACCAAAAATGTACTAAAACCTGGTTCCATTTCATCTTGTTGATTTGTATTGCTATTAGCAATTGTTGGTATGATGGCCCACCACGCAGTACGTCTGCTGTCTGGTGCTGATAAGCTGATTCATACTCGCATAGAGTGTTTTTTCTATTACAGAGCTACAGAAACCCTAAACGAATTAGAGGCTGCATAATGGATCGCACATGCATCTCTCTCTCGTGTCTGTTCATCTGTATGTGTGCGCATGAAAGGAAGCATCCATGAAGCAAAGAAGAAAATTATAAGAAGCCGGGAAATTTGAATTGACAAAAAAAAAAAAAAAAAAAAAAAAAAAAACAAGAGAAGACAGCCGTAGAAATCAAAAGTCTTCCTACAGTAAACGAGATATATTGGTCATTTTGTTGATTCAAACAATATATGAGGATACCTTTCTACGAAATTTTTTGGTTAAAATAAGAATAGGTACTATTAACTGGTCTTAACATTAGTACTAGTGTTTGGTGGTGTATACTTGCGTGGGAAAGCTGTCGTTTGAAGGTTAAAAGGGTCTGATTGCAACTTTTTCAACTAGGCGACTGAAAGAGATCGAATGACCTCAAGCCCTTAAAGCCAAACAACTGGATGACCAATATATTTTTGTATTTTCCTTGGATTTTTCATCTTTTTCTTGAGATTGGTTAAGCTGCTGATGTCACAAGGGCCGACAAGGACAAGAGGAGGAATAAAGGCATCTTGTACATGCAGCGGTGTGCCATTGGAGAAACAAAAATAAACATATTTATGGTTATGGGCCCAACCCAACCTGCTTAATTACGAGGCCTTTTTGAAATATAGGCTCCATTTGGAAGGAGTATAGATACAAATATGTAAAGCGCAAAATTTTATATTCCGTATTATTTTGTATAAATTTATAATGTGTATATTTGTATTTGTACTCCTTCCAAACTGAGCCATAAATTTCATTTGGAAGAAGTACAAATACACATATGTAGAGCGCAAACATTGTGCTTTGTATTATTCTGTATTGTATATATTTGTATTTATACTCCTTTCAAACTGAGCCATAGACTTCATTTAGAAGGAGTACAAATACACATGTATAGAGCGCAAAGTGAGGCTAAGCCAAACTACTGCTTCACCTCAATGGCCTCATGGATTTATATATAAGGTTTCAGGCATAACCTTCTTAAGCCTCATGCCTCAATTTTGGCCTGGGAATCCTAGATGTTTTATGAGGAAGCCAAATATAACAAAGCGTTTAATTATATATTCTAATATTACACGGTTTTATTGCAATACGGACTACGTCTTAGAGGCAAAACGGTTATTTTAATATAGGGGAGAGAGAGAG